AATTAGAAGCTCGATTGAAGCCTAAAATTCGAGTTTGATTGAAGTGAAAGAATAGTTTCACTCAATGCTCACCAAAAGGCTCCATGATTTGAATGTCAAATTACCTCTATTATTATAGAAGTTAGTTGTGATGCGCTTCTATGTTTCTTAGCAATATGAGTTTGTTTTGTTCTCATATTTACTCTTCTTTAGACTTTTGGGATGTTCTTCTATGTTTCTTAGCCATGTGAGATTGTTTTTAAAAAAATTAAACTAAACAATATCATTTTGTTATGATTTTTTAGCCCAAATTTATTTTTTAATTATAGTTATATATTTATTTATTATTAATATGTTTTACCTTAAATATTATGTTGTAGTTAATTTGAATCATTTTGTTCACGTGATTTTATGGTTTTTAACTTATATATATGTTATGACTTACTTTGAATATAACTTGTGATATAAAAAATTATTTTTTATTAAATATTTTTGGTATTTTTATTTAATTTTTAAAATAATTATGACGTCGTCTGATTCTTTCGACCGATCGAATTGATTCGACCGGTTGAATCAATGAATCGGTAGCATGACCGATTCGCTAACCGATCTAGTTCTGAAAACTATGGGTTTAAGTGATTGAAAAATTACTTATTCGTTTAAAAACAGAAGATGCAAACGAGAATTGAAGGGACAAGACAAGACCATCAATAACACGTGGATTTTATTTAGACACACTAAAAGAAATTTATTTTTATTATAAAGTCCAAAACTTGTAGCATTTTCGTGGAATCGACCTTCCATTGTCTTTATTTGTAGGTGTAAACCCGAGCATAGGATACTCTTATCATTTTTGGACTCAACTCTAAGTCTAAAAATATATGTATTTATCATTTGGAAATATCCTGGAATTCATTAAAATTCACCGTTTGTCACTTTCGAATTTATTGATTTTAAAAGAAAATTTTAAAAAATTTACCCTTTATCGTTTTCGTATTCGTAAATCCTTAATACTAACCCCGTAAATAATTATAATAACAAAATAAATTAACACTTTTATTTAATAATTTTTTACATATTATTATATAATAATATTTATTTAATAATTTACCCGAAAGACGGATGCTTACAATAACAGCGTATGCTTCGGCTATGGGGACTGGGAGGGCTTGTGGCGTCTTAGTTAATGATGGAATTCTAATTTTAATCCCTTCAAGATTTTAATAATTTAATTTAATCCTTATTAGCTTCTTAATAAAATGGATGGTTTTATTTTTGGCTCTTTCTAAGAATTAATAATTTGATTTAAAACATTTTAACCCATTTATTTTTAACTCTGACCCCAAATTTTTATTCACTTCTTCCTGAACATTAGGGGTGAGCAACGAAACTGAGAAAATCGAAAAACCGACACGAACCGAGTAAAACGGTTAGGTTCGGTTCGGTTTGGTTTTAAACGGTTCGGTTTTCGGTTCGGTTTAAAGGCTTCATTTTTTTGATTCGATTCGGTTCGGGTTTTCCATATGGAACCCATTTGTTCCATATTGAACCGAATAGGCAATTTTTGTAAAAAAAATTATAGTTTCAAGTGATTTTTTTTCATTGAAAAACCGAAAAAAACCGAACTGAACCGAACAAAAAAACCCGAACCGTTAAAAAACCCGAACGAACCGAAAAAACCGGTTTCGTTTTTTCGGTTTTTTAACTATTCAGTTTCGGTTTCAGTTTAAATATTAAAAAACCGTTTATTTCGATTCGGTTCAGTTTTTGGTAAAAAACCGAACCGAACCGAATACACCCCTACTTAACATCACCTAACTCAGTCATAACAGACCAAGGTATTGATACGAATTATATAAATGATTCGAACCAAACAACCAGGCTTGTCTGGATAGTGTAGATGGTTATCACGCTAGTCTCACACACTAAAGGTCTCCGGTTTGAATCTGGGCTCTGACACTTTTATTAAATCTCTTTTTATTAGAAACAAAGAAAATTGTTAATTTCAATAAATTCCTATCTATTTAAATTTTATTTCAATTAATTATTGTTTATTTAAAAGAATATTTATTAGTAATAGCGGTTTTTTATTTTATTATAAGGTGGCGTTTTTAATAAATTATTTTTATTAATTTGGATTTTGATTATTTAATTTTTTCATATTAAAATTATTTTAAGAATTTTAGATCTAGATTATTTCAAATTTGAATTTCATTCGAGTTTATATTATTTTTATCTTTTTATTTTTGGGAAACTTTTTATAATATTTTACTCTTTAATTTGTGTTAGAATTTATACATACTATTTATATATTTTGAAATTGAAACATATTTGTTAAGATAAAATTACCCGAATCATCAATCAGTCTACATAAATATACCAAGTAATAGAAGAAATGACACTTAACATTACACGCTACCTACTTGATGGAAAGATCGTGATGCATTAAAAAGATAATAAGGATAAGAGATGGGCATGGGTCGGGTTTAGGTCGAGTTTCGGCCAACCCGACCCGATCCGAAAATTTTGTAGCCTTCACCGGACTGGACTCGACCTGAAAAATAAACCCTCCACCCGATCCGAACCCGATCGGATTCGACACGAAATAATAAAAGATATTATTTTTATTCAATAAAACAGTGATTTAATTGGAAAACAATAATATATAGAGGGGTATTATTATAATTATTCCTAAATATATATGATAAAATTATTATTTTTGGGTGGGGTCGGGTCGGGTATTTTTCACCCTAAACCCGAATCCGACCCGAACATCACCTTTAAAAAAAACATGGCCCGACCGACCCGAACCGTATTAAAAAAAAAATCATATCTGATCGAATCAGGTCGGATCGAAACCCGTCGGATTCGAGTTCCATGTCCATCCCTAATAAGGATTGATTTGTTCTTTTCTAAATCGAATCAGGTCGGATCGAAACCCGTCGGATCGAGTTCCATGTCCATCCCTAATAAGGATTGATTTGTTCTTTTTCTAATAGTAAGAGTAAATGCTTTCTAAAAAAATATTTTTTCATAATACTCCTATATTAAGGTAAATTTATCTAAATAATACCATTTTATTAATTAATTGTTATACCTTTAAAGAAGACTCTAAGAAAGCGATATCTTAAATTAACCTTTAAGACATTATATAATCTCTAGAATTAAATCGTTTTTGGAGCTCATATTCATTTATTTTGTTTGATATTTGACAGAGATTTAACAGTTGACAGTCATATCCACATGATCTATTTGTTTATTAACAGACATGATAATCATAGGTCTGACACCAATCGTCCTATAATCGACATATTTATTTTACATAAAAAGACTGCAAGAAAGACTCTATTTTCCGGCTCTATCACTTGAATTGCTCATCTTCTCCTACCTTCATTTCTCTCCTCACATATGTCAACATCGACTCATGATTGAATCTCCACCGATTGTGATTTTTCGCTCAAATTAAAAGAAGTGGATTGTCTATGATCGATGAGATAAACTTGTTTCAATCAACAATTGATGCAATGAACTGAAAACGAAAGAAGGTCCTTTTTTTCATCCTTCCTCGAGGTATAAATATTCGACTATACGATAATTGGTGTCAGATTTGGGATCATTATGTTTATTAATAAGCTGATAGATTATACAAACATTACTGTCAAAAACCATGTCAAAGACGAAGGAATATGAACTCTGAAAAGTCAATCCGATAAAAGATGACTTTAGAGATAATGTGATATCTTCAAAGTTGATAAAAATTGATAATTTTCACATAATTTTCTCCAAAAATATAATATTTTTGAAAAAAATAATTAATTACAAAAATAGTACCTTTTTTTATACACGATGTCACATACGTAGCCTCATGTGTCATAAAACTATATTCTACAAGTGGATTAAATGTTTTTATATTATATATAATCGTTTAAATTTTTTTTGCTTAATTTATATTAGCTTAATTATTATAAATTTTAAATAGTTAATATTTTTATTCTTTCCATATTTAATAAACTCTAAAATTTCATAATATAATTATTAAATTAGCGTTTATATAATTCATGCTTAAATAATTAATACTTAAATAATTCATAATGTTGTTAAAAAATAATTTATAATAAAATAATTAAAATAGGCCGTAATCTTATGTAAACTGAAGATTATTCATTTGATTTAATTTTCCATTTTTCATTTACTATTTTGGGCAACCTATTTCTCGTACGTTCGATTTTCAACAAGCACGTATCGCATTATAAATTCATCGAGAAACAAGAACAGAATTCTGTTTTTCATTCTTCATATAATTCCCAGATCTTCTCCATTTTCGCTCTGCTGCAATTCGGACTTAGTTCTCGCCGTCCAACCAACTAGTAATTCTATTGACGCCTATGGCTTCTTTATTTAGATTTGCTAATTTTTTATTTCCTTTTAATTTTACCAATGATTGCTTAAACTGTTTTGTTTTTCTGGAAATGCAACGAAGATTCTCTATGGTGTTCTCCGTTCAATATATAAATGCATATTAATTTGATTGCAAGCAACGTATATTAATTTGATGCAGTTTGTTTCAATAGATTTCGAAGGAGGCAATTGCTCATAGATGAATCGGTTGATCGAAGCGGCCTAATCGGTTGATCGAAGCGGCCTGAACCTGAATCTGGTAGGTTTTAATTCAATGAGATTTCATAACATTGGATGGAATACGTTTATTGTCAGTTAATTAAAAATAACTGTTTAATTCAATACTGTTTTCTTTATTATTCTCTGTATTGAAATTGCAGAACATCACTGTTTTCTGTTTTCAACATAAATCATCCGATTGTTCCGATCGCAGATTCATTTAGAATGTGAATTTTCAATTGTGTTTGAAGCTTTTGAATTTTCGATTGCCATTTATTGAGCTTTTATTTCCTTTATTAAATTTAGTGTTGTATCATATTTTAATATATTTTCCTCAAATTAATTTTAATTAAGAAAACGCAGATTAGGGAAGGAAAACGCTAACGCATAGATTTGGCGTTCGGATTCGATATTGAGACCAACGAGTCCCCGAGTGAATCACCTGTCGAGGCGATTCAAATGACGGCGAGCGAAACCGTTCGATGCGAAGAAGGACTGGCTTCATCGCCAATGAATCCGTCATCGCCGATGAATCCTTCATCGCCGAGGAGTAGGGTAAAGTTTCTTTGCAGCTATGGCGGGAAAATATTGCCCAGACCAAGCGACTGTAAACTCAAGTACTTTGGTGGAGAAACTCGTATGGTGGCGGTCCCGGGGGATATCAAATTTTCAGGTTTGCCCTCGTTTTATCCTTGTTAAGTTGTATGCGGATTCGATTCATTCCAATGGTAATTTGGTCATTGTCTTTGATAGTTTTGCCAATATTTACAAATAGTTTTTTGGCTATAAATCCTTTTTTCGTTACAATATTTTATATATATTCTTATTTGGTAAATAGTAACGATTAGTACTTCGTATTTTGATGCTAAAGAATTTGGATGAACCTTAGATCGATTTAGAATTCAAAATTGGCTATTCTAACTGTTTTTCCAGTGTTTTAGCTATCATAATTTGGATTGATCACTTGTATTTCTAAACTGTATGCAACAAAGCCATAGCTATAGTGTTTAGAGTTGTTTTATTGCTTATGTTTTCGTTTTGGCCGAAGTTCAAATCTTAGTAACCTTTCTCCTCTTAAAAAAGGGTATCTGTTTTGGAAGGAAAAATAATTGTAGCAATGTGTGAATATCTTGAAGAAATCAGCAAAATATAAAGCCATTTTTAAAGTGACATTTTATCTATATGTGACAGAGTTGATGAAGAAGGTGAACAGTATGGTTGAAGGGGACATGGTTCTGAAATTTCCCATTATCCCTGATGAACTTGATGCCTTGGTAACTGTAAAATCCGACGAGGATGTCAAACATATGGTCGATGAGTATCGTCGTTTGGAAAGTGAAGGAACTCCAAAACTTCGTGCTTTTTTGTTCCCTTCAAACCCAATCGTAGTTGAGAACCAAATGAACCCTGTTGATCACTACGCCATTGAGCAGCGGTATATAGAGGCCATCAATGGCATAGTTCGCCCAAGTTCAAATAATACTAGTGGAAGGCTCACCCCTGTTAACCCAAACCGCTCCAACTTCAGCCCTTCTGCTAGCACTTCCCCCAAAGCAGCTTCTCCAGATATTAGCTCTTTCCTCTTGGAGCCGCCATCAGTTTCAAATGGGAACCAACATAATAAACCCCCCATGCCTAAAGTCCAGAGTTCTCCAAACATGTACAACCTCCATCTGCCAAGTATCTACAACCATAGCAATCACCAAGTTTTTCAGCCACATTATCATTATCACCAAAACCACCAGCAACTACATCCCTACGGCATTCCATCTCCGAGAACATGCCCAGATTTTCGGGCTGAAAAACCCCCAGGGCCACACGAGTTTGTGAGGGGTGCTATGGGGCATGGTCATGTTCCAGTAAACCGAGTCTATCGACTGGAGAAATGAAAGATAGGTACATAATTTTTTTCCTTCTAGCATACTGATCATCAGCAGTGGAAGGCTTTTTATTTCCTTCCTCTATACATATCTGGTGTGAGTTCTTGTTTTCTCTTCTTGCAAACTTGGTTCATATAAATTGCCAAGTTGAAGTGGTAAACAAGATTTATAGATTTGTGAAAAAAAATATGTACATATATCTAAAGAAATGGCAGTTGAAAGAATGAATTTCCATGTTCTCTCTGTTGTTTTGAAATGTTTTTACTATCCTCTCACCGTCCTATGGCTCATAAGTTAATTCATTTCCATTAGGTAAAATAGACAAAAACCGGGCAGAGGATTATCAGGTAGTGTAGAACTTTCCATATGACATTCTTCCGAAATTTAATTGGCATGTCGTTCATATAGCTTATTTCATTTCTCAATTGGTGTAAGAGTTAGTTATTTTAAGATGTCTAGTCAAAAGCAGGGATTTTAATGTTATTCTAAGAACTTCTAGCAATTTGCTTGTGAGGAAGTGCTCTCCATTCGATATCATTCCCGTAGAATCCTCCCGGCCAGTTGATTTCTTCAACTGCAAGGTAAGCTTTATACCATGCTTCTTCAAGGTCTTTGACTTTAGCAGTAATCCCGAGAACACGGCCACCGGTAGCATGAAATTGCCATCCGAATCAAGTGCAGTTCCAGCATGGAATATCTTGACAGAAGGACCAACATGTTCTGCTTCCTCAAGGTTCTGAATCACGGTCCCCTTCTCATAGGAGCCAGGGTAACCCTTGCTCGCCATCACTACCACCATAGCCGACCCGGGGGACCAGTCCAGTGACACCCCATTTAGCACTCCTCTACAAGCTGCCAGCAGAACTTTTGCAAGATCAGACTCTAAACGAACCATCAGGACCTGTTGCAAGAGCAAACCACAAGTGCAATTTAAGAATCTATTATTGCCTTATTGCTTTAAAAGATGGCAAACAAACCAGCCTATAACTGACCTGATACTCCGGGTCTCCAAACCGACATTGTACTCGATTAGTTTTGGTAAGCCGGACTTCTTCTCGATCATTAGTCCAGCATATAAAACCCTGACAAACTTGCATCCTTCCATTGACATGCCCTTAACTGTAGGGAGAATAATGGATTCCATGACCACAGCTTGAACTTCTTTAGTTAAGACTGGTGCAGGGGAGTAAGCCCCCATCCCACCAGTATTAGGACCTGTGTCACCGTCTCCAACCCGTTTATGTTCTTGTGCAGACTCGAGTGGTATGGCATTCTCTCCATCCACGAGGGCAAAGAACGATGCTTCTTCTCCTTCGAGAAATTCCTCGACAATGACCCGGCAACCTGCAGAACCAAAAATGCCCTCAACAAGCATTGAATCAATGGCTTCATATGCCTCCTCCGACGTCATAGCAACGGTAACTCCTTTTCCGGCAGCCAGCCCATCTGCTTTGATAACAATAGGTGCTCCTTGCTCTTTAATGTATTGCTTTGCAGCTGATGCATCTGAAAATGTTTGATACTAAACCAAACATTTTAAACAAGCATTAATACAACAGAAAACATGTTTGATACTGTAATAACAAATTTTTGCATCGAATTCGAGATAAAACCTTAGCCGTAGGAATCCCATATTTGTCACATATAGTCTTCATGAGTTCTTAGAACCTTCCAAAGCGGCAGCCTCAGCAGAAGGGCCAAAAGTAGGGATTCCGGCCAGGGATTCAAATCGCGGTTTCGGTCATGTCCCGTTTACCGCGATTGCGGCCATAGCCGGCGCTATTGTGAGTATATCGGAAGGTAGCGCTAATGCTATTTCGCTGGCGCTATCATGGTCGCGGACCGCTATTTAAAACCTTGATTCCGGCCATTACCAAATCTTTAGCAATACCTGAAACAAGGGGAGCCTCCGGTCCAACAACGACCAAACCGACACTCCATTTGCGGCAAAATGAAATCACAGTTGATCTATCGGAGATGTCGAGGTCGGAATACAAGTTGCATCGCCTGAGGCGGAAATCCTGGCATTGCCTGGTGCAGACGGCATCACAAGATGGCAACCGCTGCAAATGGCATGTTCTCTTCCCCCTCCACCGATAACTAGAACCACCACTCTCTCCGCTGCACAGTATAAATGACATTTTTACTCAAATCAAAATCACCTGCTTTACCATTTTTCCAATGGGCTAGATGATTCACAAAAGGCTTGTACAGGAGTAATAATATTACATGAAACTGGTTTTAATTACACTCCCAGTCCATGTACTCTTCAAGCTTTTTGAAATATACCTACTTTTAACGGGATCAGATTTAAAAATTAAAGTTAAATCAATAACATTTCCATTAAATTTAATTGTGGCATTTTAATATTTAAAGGCTAAAATCCAGTTGATAATAACTCGTTCGAATTTAACGGTGGACTCAAGTTTTTTAGTCAGACAAGTAGATGCACTAAAGTAGAGGGACTAAATAGAAATTCCGATTCTTTCATGGCCTTATCATAAAAATAAACAAAAACCAATAACATTACAGAAAATGGAGAAAAAGGGAAATAAAAACAGATAAATTAATGGGGGAAAAGGGTTCTTAAGAGTAGTTCTTACCATACCGGAAGCACCGTTATTGCCATGGCCATCGGCGGAAACGGAGAGCTCTAATTTCAGTGAAAATCATCGGAAGAAAGTAGAAGACCATCGTGAATCATCGATGTGCGGCCGAGACGAGCTATGGTGATTGACGGAGAAAACGAAGGATCCCGCTGAGAAAGAAAAAGAAATCCCAAGGAAGGATTTTGATGGTAAAAAGGAAGTGGTAAAAGACTGAGAAGTAAAGATTCCATTGTTGTTGTTGACAGCAAGCATTGGATAAGGGGAGAGATTAATGGTCGTTAAGGCCATGCCTTCTTTGCCGTTGTTCTCTTTCCTCTTCCTTCCAAACACTACAAAATGAGTTAGCCCTCAATTGATACTGAAAAATACATGACATGGCAGTAGGGTTTAAGGTTCTATCGTATTTTTTTGTTAAATTATGAATTCAATCCCTCTTGCTTACAAAAATTTAGAAATTAGTTCTTAAAAACCATAGTCATTAAGTGGATTTTCAGTTTCACTTCCAATCTCATTGTTGTTTTCCAATTTTAAAAAGCTCAACGCCTAATTTACACTTTATGTAGGCATGTAAACCAACCGTTCGGTAAGAAGTTCGTTTATTTATTAAACGAACGAACATGAACATTATTTTATGTTCATTTAATTAAATGAACGAACATGAACAGATGGCTCGTTCGTTCATTTACGTTTGTGAACGTTCGGTAATATGTTTGTTCATTTATGTTCGTTTATGTGTGTTCATTTATGTTTAACCCAATCTCTCTAGACCTATTTAAAATATTAAACCCAATAAATTTTAATATTATACCCATAAATATTTTTAAAATTCAATTAATTTTAAATACAAATAAAAAAAGCTCAAAACAATTAAATATAATATAATCCTAAAATTGTTAGGAAAGAAAAATATATATTTTCATTTATGTTTGTTTACGTTCGTTTATTCTGTTTGTTTATGTTCGTTTACATCTGTTTGTTTATGTTCGTTCATGTGTGTTCGTTTATCATTTTAAATGAACGAACATGAACGAACACGAACAAGTTACATTCCTTAACGAACGAACACGAACAAGAAAATTTTCTTTCGTTTAGGTTCGTGTTCATTCATTTGTTCGGTTAAAGTTAAACGAACGAACATGAACATACCCCGTTCGTGTTCGTTCACATACCTAACTTTCTACAAACGTTGAAGGTTAAATTCGTTTATTTGACATAATTTATAAATATTAAAAAATTGACAGAAATTAAGGTATTTTTTAAAGACCAATTTGTCCAATTTCAGGATTGAAAAGGACCTAAGAGGTAACTTTACCGAGGGAAAAAAACTCCGATTTCCAAAATCCGAACCTCGCACGCATATATAACTACTGATTTTCAAGCAATGATAAGATGCAAGAACTAAATTAGCTTCTTAAAGTCTTAACAAATTAAAATGAATGCACCGATCCCTCAATTTTGTGAAACTCGTAATTAGACCCCAAAAAAGGAATTGTAAATATTAAAATTTGTTAGTAAAACACCCCACAGATGGGATCACAGAATAAGGTTGTAGTAATTAAAATGACAGTCTTCAACAAAAAATATATATAATAAAAAACCAGGTTCATCAGCATCACAGCCTTGGTTCTCCTTTGTTCTACTCACTTTTTGGTTTTCTTAACAGAGACGATACGGGTATGGGGCAATTTTTTTTTTACTTTATACATACGATGATACAAAATAAAACGACATGACGTGGTATGGCGACGCGTGGCACGGCTATTGGCTAGTAGAAGCGCAAGGAACTCGGAAAGGTTACTAAGTATGCAGCGCCATGAATAAGTTCTGCTTACGAGCATGCTCCGGAATAAGTTTCTTCACAACATCAGGGGGGACGCCCGAGAGCTCTGCCAATGCAAGGGGAACAAAGTGTAGAGCAAGAGTTCAACCAACAAATCTTGATGGCATAACTTGCTTCTATTCTAACTACCAAGTGAAACTCACCTTGTGGCTTAAAATTGAAGAGTGGCGGGAGCGGACGGCCATTAGGAAGTCGAGTGCTCGGATCCCTCAGTTCATCAAAGAACGGGTGAATGCAAGCCTCCAGCTGCAGTAACATTGCCATCGAAGATAAATAAAAAGGCCGATTACTGAAAGATATTTTTACTATTACTACTCAGTACGGCATAAGCAAAGAGTATCATAACTTACAGCAGTGCAGCGCAAATTGGGAGAGTACTGAAAAAACCTGCAGACAAGGTCCACTGCTTCCGGAGGCAAACGCTTTTGGAAGACCTGTCGCAAGAGAACACGTTATTGATTTCAATAGGAAACCTTATGGTAAGGAGAGTAAACAATGAAAAAAGAGAAGAGCACGCATACCTTGTGCCATGGATGAGGCTTTATCTGGGGAAACTTGAATTCAGTGTAGTTCGGATTCATGCACTTGATCTCCTCCCTGGTTGGAGTCCCCAAAACCTAAACAAACATTCAAACTCAGACTTTATCAGACACATCCTAAGGGGAACTTTGATGTATATGTTTCCAAACATTGTATCAAAAACAATGGAGAAAGGAGCAGTATAGGGTAACGAAGAAATTGTTCTGACACAGACTGCATTCACTGGCAATGGACAAGCTCAAATCCTAAATTTTGGCTTGAATTTTCTTCTATTCATGAAAAGGAATAATTGAAAAGAAAAGATATTATAAATTAATGGGCTTATCTATAATGTTTATCAAAGCACCCCAAGGGTACCTAAAATATCATTATTAACATAATCAAGTTTAAGCAAAAGTCTAATAATTATCAAAAACTAGTATTGTTGAGATGTAATAAACTTCAAAAGATTTTTCAAGTACAGTACTCCAAGAAAAGTGAAGGAATAATAAGATGTAATCACCTTAATGATTTCAACAAGTTGATCAACCCCACTTTCACCAGGAAACAGCGGCTGCATTGTATGGTAGTAATCGGAAACATAATTAATGAAGAGAACAGTAACTTATAACAGTACCCTTATTAAACAAATTAGACTGGAGTTACCTGTCCAAGAAGCAATTCAGCCATCACACAACCAGTAGACCAGATATCTATCGCAGTTGTGTATTCAGTGGCACCAAATATGAGTTCTGGAGCACGATAATATCTTGAGCAGATGTAAGAAACATTGGGTTCTCCCTTCACCTGAAGCAAGGAATGGATGCCAACTCAGGTGATGAAACAAGATTCAGCACCAAAAATTATTATTACATGAAAACTTACAAGCACTTTTGCACTCCCAAAATCACAAAGTTTCAACTGATGTGCATGTGGATTCACCTGGAAGAAAAAAACCATAGAAGTTGAGCCTCACCAAACCAAGGATAATGTGTCTCCAAATAACTTTTAACCAGATAACATTTTTCACACATAAAGAAAAACTTAAACATATAAAATCCTCAAAAACATTACTGTACATCTTAACTTGATAAAAGTAGCCAGGAAATAACAGGTTTTTCTCAATATGGTCAAGAGACTTGATCAGTTGGATTAACAAAACAATACAGTTACGTTCAGAGTATACACTATTACATGAAAAACATGTACTCTGTAACAAAATACTTGACTCCTTAGAAGAAGAGTCTTACAAGTAAATTCTGAGGTTTGATGTCACGGTGACATATACCAATGCAGTTGTGTAAATAGGCAAGTGCTCTGCATATCTGCAATCCAAATGAAGACAATTAGCTACAACTCTATCCAGTAAACTAATTTTTTTAAAGTTCAAACTGAAGAAAAGGAAAAGAGAAGTTTATCTCTAGAGAATCTGGAATATTGGACCTATCTATTGTTAAGGCTATAGTTTGAACTAAAAATTGAAAGATGACTTCTCATTTCATTACCATATGATTTAGCAGTAACGCCAAATAAATCACGATAATATATCACTTCTGAAACAACTCTGAACCACTCAACCCAATTAAAGGTTATTGGGAAAGAAATATATCCCAACTCCATTCCATATATCAATATAACATAAAAGGATATGCTTTAATAGGACGGAGAAGCACCTGGTAGGTATATAGTTTAACATATATCAAAGGCATTCGTGTGTTCATCCTGCTGTAGCTTCTGGCTGTACGATGAACAGTTTCAGGTACATACTCCAGAACAAGATTGAGGTAGAGTTCTTCCTTGTCTGTTTTTGAGAAAAAATAATGCTTAAGAGCAACAATATTTGGATGATCCAGCATTTGCATAATCTGCAACTCCCTATTTTTGTAGCGCTTATCTTGAAGAACCTTCTTGATGGCAACAATTTCCCCAGTTTCACGACACTTTGCCTGCAGGAAACAGTCAACTCATTCAAGATTATGATCTATCTAACAAAGTCATGAAAATATTTTTAAGCAAGAATATTATTAAACTACTTACTTGGAAAACAACACCGAAAGAACCAGTACCAACAGCATGCTCAGCAATATAACTAACATTCTGTCAATCCAGCAGAAAATAGATAAATTGAGAATAATGCGGGTTGATAAAACATCAATCATAGAATCATGCAAGGAAAATTTTGCACGTTAATTTATTTTCTTTCAACCTGTTTTGATTGACCATTCCGACTACCAATGGTTGTTCTTATCACATGTCCTGTTTCAGCACCCACTCCATCAACTATATCTGGTTCACTATCCTGCATGGATAAAACATAAAGGATCATCTACAAATAGAAAAGCCTCTTGCAGAGATTGTAAAATTACGTTCAAGGTTTCAGTATCAGACTACTATATTCTCAATAAGCGTGGCCATTGTAAAGCTGCTTGAGAAGTTCTAAATGAAATACTAAGGAACTAAATAGTGAGCTTCTTACTCTGTCTTCATCATTGTCCACCTTGTCTCTGAGTCTCATTTCAAGCATTTCTCTCCCCAGCCAATCAACAGAACTAGATGAGCTTTTGAAACCATTAACAGATCTGGAACTACCCACTCCTCCATTTCCTAGGCTTGCAGATGCCATAATTCAGCCAGGTAAACTTTATAGACACTAGTATTGGCTATCCACTAAATACTACGTAGTGCAGCTGCCCATCCCATCCAAGCACCTATCTTCCTAATGGATTCCCAAAGTTAAGAAGGAAGAAACCATTAAAGAGGAGAATGTAGAATGTTTATTATCAAGGTTTCGAGCAAAAATAACATATATGACTGATAGCCAAGGTGAAGGATCAGAACAAAAAAAAAAGTGCATTAAGAATATAGTTTCTTACATAACACCATAAACGAATAAATTCCTCAAATAAAAATAACTACAAACTTCCAGGAGACATAAATTTAAGTTTCTAAGCATTCAAGTAAACTATGATACTGAAAACATATGGGAATCAAATGTTAACAATTACTTCTACATATAGCATACAGAATATATACTTTTGCAGAATACGAGCGTCAGAAAAAAGCAATGTAACAAGGAAACAATAGATTTTCAGTTAAGAAACAACCTGTTGAATCAAAAAGTCCACAGCTTAACTTCAAGTTCAAACTAGTGAGATCAGCTACATAAAATTTGCTCCCTTCAAACAGTTAAAATCCAATTTCAGATTCTCTAAAGCATACCCAAAATTCGTTGTTTGTTTAAATCTTATGCCAATTACCATACCTTTATAAATGAGCTTTCTTTCAATTAAATCAAGGTTGTCAGCGTGATCTATCGATAAAAGAAATAAAGAGGAACAAGTGGTATCAAAATTAATTACGGCGTGCAATTATCTGTTCCTCCCACACGGAGCTCCGATCAGATCCAACCCTAATCTAGCCAATCAGAACACCAGAAACCATATAATCTTCCACTAAATATTTGAATTAATGAAAAGAACCCTAAAATAAACCTTTTTCATACCATCCAGAAGAAGAAGAAAAACAGCAATTTTCATTGATAATGAAACCCCAACTGTTTCACTTCAAAAAGAACAAAAAAAAAGGGTTCTCGTTTTTATACCTACTCGGAAGTGTTCGTAACGAAACCGAAAACAAATCAAGCGCGGTTCTTTATCCTTAGAGTTCGGTTACGAAACTCAAATCAGATTTTTTTTCTTCCTTCAAACAAAAAATAACTGAAGGCAGACAGCCGTGGACTGTTTCTGATCTGATCAAATTTCCTATTTTCAAGATTTTCCCGATATTTCTTGTAATTTTCCCCTCAATATTTTGAGTGGAGATCGGAGACAGGGAGAGGGAGAGGGAGAGGGAGAGGGAGAGAGGGAGAGAGGGAGTGTGTTTTGGAGTTTATGGATTTTTTTTGGGGGAATATATACGAAATGAAAATTATCTATCTTCATGTCTTGTTATTACATTATTTTATTTTATTTTAGTTTAATTTCTCTTTCAGTCCCTGTATTCTTCATACGCTTAACATCTAGTTTCTCTTATTTTATTCCCGCGAATATTCTCTGTACTCTTTTAATTGCGTAGCATTTTACTTTTTTTGAACATAGAAAAATATTACGTGGCATTTTAAAACTAAAAAAATAGGTCACTTGAATATTATATGGTGTAAAAAGTCAAATAAACAAATATTTTTTTTTTATAATTTGGGACAGAGATGAGAATGAGACCCGAATTTTACGAGTTCTGACTTGAGTTGATTTGATTAGGTCAAATTTTTTTTAAAAATTAGGTTCGGACCGGCTGAGTTTTTAGAGGTTATGTTCAAGTTCGATTCTAGGGTGAAAAAACCCGACACCTGATCCGAAAAAATTATAATTTTATCATATATATTTATGAATAATTATAATAATACCCCTCTATATATTATTTTTTTCAATTAAATCCATAATTTTATTGAACAAAAGTAATATTTTTGAATGAATATATTATTTCAGATCGGGTCGGATCCAGTTCGATTTTATCTCAAAAAGACGAATCGGATAGATGGTGTTTATTTTTCTGGTCAAATTCGAATCGGAATAGATAGATCGAAAACCTGACTCGACTCGACTCATGCTCATCCCTAATTTAGGATGATTTTGCATGGTTTAAATTATAAATGTTTTTATCTTAAATGTTCAAATTATAGTTTTTAAGTTTTAAATATTTTTAAAGTTTTTATTTAATTTTAAAATTGGGTTTATTTTAAAAACGAGATTAATTTAGAAATAGATTGTGTATATTTTGAAAATCAATATATAAAAATATTTATGATAGTATTGATCTCCCCTGTTAGCATAAGTCAGATGTTCAGCTCTGATTGAATAATTTTTTAAAATAAAATGAAACTATAATTTTTATATAATTTATAATATTTTTAAGATTTTTAAAAATTTTAAATATTATTGATGACTCTTATATCATATTTTTAATTAAAATTTTACTATTGTTTTGTGTTTTAAAATTAATTGAATTCTCATCTATACTTTTATTAGTGATTTATTAAAAAAAACATTGTATGTGAATGATTTTTCTCGAATTAAAAAAATGAAAAAATCTAAAAAAACATCTCATGATAATTTTAAAATTTTAAATTAAGATATTAACTTTTTCAAACAGGTATAATTAAAATATTTTATAATAAAAGGATTAAAATGAATTTTTAAATATAATTAAGAGTTATAATATTTTTATAATAAAAAGAGTAAAATATTTCACTTGAGTCTTGACAAATGGCTTTAAACCCATGAAAAATGATGACGAGGGTCCCTTATAACACAACAATTGAGAATTTTGGACTTTACATAAAAGTCCTTGGAAGATAATTTAACAACTATATAAGTCCTTATCATTATATTGTATTAATTTAAGGGTAAACTACGAACATAGTCACCCAACTCTCACTTTAGTTATGTTTTGCTCACTTAACTATTTTTTTATAATTATCAGTAACGTTATGTTTTGGTTTTATTTTAGTCAGCTGTCATTAAAAAATTAGCAGAATTACTAACATAATATTTTAATTTTTTCAATGATGATGTGACATTATCTTTCGGTTACTTGTCAGTATCACCGTTAATTTTTAACAACAGATGACCAAATAAAAACTAAAACATAACATTAGTGATGATATTTAAAAAAAAGTTGAGTGACTAAAATTGAATCAAAATGATAATTGACTGGCTGAATACATAATTTACCCTTAACTTAAATAGTTTACTTAAATAGTTTTAATAAAGTTTGTCAAAGATTAAGTTATTAAATCTTTCTATACTCATTCCAAATCTTATTATATGAGATTTTGATTTAAATTTATTATAATTTTTAATTTATTGAGCGATCTTATTAATAAATGAAAAATATTATTCTTTTTAAATGTATTAAATTCAAGTAATTATGTTTGTCCATAGAATATGTGTATATTGTTATTGATTTAAAAAATCTAAATATATACTATTTTATAATTAACTCAGATTATTAAAACAAATATTAAAATTTTAAAGATTTAAACAATGTTTTGCTTGTTAAATTATATTTAAATTCTCATTTTAACCCTTAACTTTTTTTTAATTAAAAGTGACCCTTAACTTTTTATTTTGATACCTATTTTTACCTTTGGTTCTAACACCGTCAAAAAAGTGCAGCCAATAATTAGTCGACACGTTATAAGAACAATAATCTTAAACTAAATTGGAAAATAAAATTATTAAACATTAACACGACAGTGGAGGAGGAGAAAGGAACAAAAGATGTGATAAAAAAATTGGGTTTATTTGTGGATTAGTCCCATAACTATATTTAATTTAATTTAAATTCCCACACTAATATTTTCTTATTTTCCAATTTAATTTAAAAATGTTATTCTTCCCACGTTCCAACTAATTATTGACTGCTATATTTTTATTTTAACGGTGGTCGTAACAATAATCAAAATAAACCATGTAATGTTTTTTTAAATGGTAATAATAATTGATTTTATTAATTAAACAAAAATAAAATATAATGAAAATTTATAATCTAGAAAAAATATTTATAAAATATAAATAGTTAATTATTTCAAATATAGTGCATCAAAATATTTAAAAATTAACCCACAATTAGTTGGTGTAATCAGACAAGATATTAATTTATTTAATTAAGATTAATAATATTCTAATATTATAAATTGAATAAACTGGACTGAAAAGACGAGCCTCTGTAATATTAAATTTAAATTAATTGATTAATGAATTAAAAAATTAATAATTAATAGAAAATATTTGAAAAATTAGATGGTCACGATTTGATGTAAGTGATTATGGAATTTGAAAGTCAATTTTCAATTGTTAGAATGCAGGCTTGGTGCTACCACCACCACTACTTTCCTCATGCAACTCTCACAATCATTGCTTACACTTCCCCAAATTTGTTTCCCTTTTGACAAAAAAAAAAACTAAATGTTTTTAGGGTAAACTAATTGTCTAGTATCTAAATTATTAATTTTAGTATCTAAACTTTTAATTCTTTTTCAAAATCGGACTTAATGTTTAGTTTTTGTTTTATTTTATTATCTCGTTAAAATATTAATGTTAACCTTCGAAAAAAAATTTAAGGTTTAGGTACTAAAACGGATCAAAACTGATAGTTTAGGTACTGAGAGCGTTAAATTTTTTAATGACAGAGTACTAAAATGAAAGAAAAACTAAACATTATAGATGACTTTTGAAAAAATTGAGAGTTTAGATACTAAACGCATAGTTTACTTTTTTTATTTCACAGTTTTTTTTGAACTTTTAGTTTTAAGTTAAATCTCATCGGGTGATTCAAGTAAGAATTAAACGATCTCGATGGTAAAATAATTATTGTAATTTATTGAGGTCTCAGATTCGAGCACTAAGAATGTTAGGCGTTTAAGTGTTCAATGTCAAATGGTTGAGAGTTATCTTTAAACAGAAACTATTTTGCATTTATCTTATATTAATAAAAAAATTATTTTGAATTCTTTGACAAATTTTGTTAAATGGCAAATTTGATGAAATGAATAGTATATGACGGTAGGGATGAAAAATGAGCGAGGCGGGTACATGTACTCCTTCTATCTCTACACCCACCTAATATTTTCATGTTTATCAAATACTCACCATCCACAATAAGTAAAATTTTTAAATCCTCATCCGCTCACGCGAGCATATTCTTAAATTTATCCCCACGTCAACTACCCAATTGGATACTCATCATCAATCTCGTATCCGTTTGTACCCGCCTGACAACCTCACAGATAACAAAAACAACAAAACATAAAACACACGCACATTAAAAAAAACCTAATAAACGAAGGATTAGCTGAGTTACAGATTAACATAGATTTTAAAAAAAACCAAGGTCTTAGTGTAGATGCTTAATTTGTCTGGGAAGTTAAAAACCAGAAAAAACGTGGGCCATTAGCAATAGAGAGATATTTTGAGCATTCAAGAAAACCGTAAAAGATCGGTTTATGTTTAACAATTAACCACCAAGAACGTGGGGCACAGACAGGAAACTAAAGGAGGTGGGAAAACCAGAAAACGAACACAAAAAGGGACCAGCAGATAGAAAACAGGGGGGGACATTCAGAAAAAGGAAAAAGAACAGAAATAGAGGGCAAAAAAAAAAATTAACCAAGGAGGAGGTGAGCAGAGGATCATCAACAGTAACCAGAGAGCAATTCCAACAGAGGATTCAAGCAACAATTAAAAACAAAAAGCGTTCATCAACCACAGTGAACAGAACTCTTCGAAAAAAACATCCATTGCAATTAGAGTTTCACTCACCATTGTATTGAAATCCAAGAAGCAATTGAAAGCAAGGAGCAGTTTTTTTTTTGGTATTTTCCATCCTTATTTCGATTTCCAGTTTAATATATGTATGTCTTTATTTTGAAAACAATTAGAAATTTAAGCAACATACATTAATAAAATAAAACTACAAGAGAACAAAATAGAAGAGAGGAAGAGGGTCGTTTTACCTTAGGCGTTTGGTGTTTTGTTCTGTCTTTAGTCTCCGGGGTCGAGCGAGGGAGCAGTGAGTTTACCTTTTGTCTGTGGCTTCACTGTTGGAGTCTCTTGAAGGTGTCGTTTGAAGAGAGAGTGGGAAGGAGGAACGTTTGGGAGCGTTGGTGGTTCAAGGAGATGAGTGGTCGAGAGATGGCTGTGTGAGTTTGTGAGTTAGAAGTGAGAACTGCGCAGGGAGAGGGAGAAGAAGGGAGCATTGCGGCTGTGAGGAAGAAGAAAATATGAAGAATGAGGGTTAGGTTTAGTTTAAAGTAGGTTTTATATTATAATTTTAGGGATAATTTCTTTAAGGTCACTACACCTCTGCCGTTGATTTCCATTTTG